TCTAGTTATCAGTCTACCATTTGGGTTGTTAACAAACACGACATCGCATATCTCATCTCCATAATCATCATTCACACGAACGTATTATTAGGTTAATGATGAGCCACACAATCTTATGTTTCTTGTTGATTAACTGTCTATCAAGCATTGCACCTTTTGAAATAAAAGGAACGCCAAACTAACAAAGACAAATTAGGGTTTTTTTTTTCGTCACTTGTCTCCGACGTGAACCATCCATGTCCCTATCCCTCACAAACCTTCGTCTCACCCACATCCCTTTGATACCATGTGAGTCAATCACCCCTTTAGACAATGTTTTAATCCTTATCAAAGGTTGTGAGGGGCACCAGATCACCATACGAGAAGTAAACCGGTGGAGGGAGAAGGTTGGTGGGTGGTGTGGTTGCAGTTCTTCAGAGATGGTGGTGGTGGGCACTTTTCCCCTGGAGAAAAGAAGGGTGGCCGGAGTCTTGAAATATATTAGATGTTTTTATCAATTTTGACTCGACACGTTCTAACTTGTATTTTGTTGTTTTATGGACTAAGGTGAAAGGTTTCAGGCTTACAAGGTATTGAAAGTGACAGTTTCGTATAGTTGGAGATTGGATGAACCATGAAGGGTTGCTACTGGCAATATGTTATTCTACAAGGGTAGTGGAGCATTTCCAGTATAGTTGAAGGATTATTCAGTAATAATAATATAAAGTTGTTTCTTATTTTTGTTTTTAGTTGGTCTTTGTATTATATCATTCATAGAAGAGTTTCCTAAAAGAAGCCTTCTTTAAAGCTTTTTAGGGTTTCATATTTGGTTTTAATAGATTTATTGTTTGCTTACCTCTTAATAGTTTTATTAAGAGACAATTTTTAAATTGTTTTGAATCGTTAATAGGTGAATATTGTTTGGCAAAAAAAATATGTCTCTTAATGGTTCTAAAACCCTCTGAATGATTTTGTCTCTTGGATCTCCCTTAATCATCAAGAGCCCTAATTCATTATACACAATTACCAAACAATTATATTTCATTTTACATTATATCATGAGAGCTTCTTAATCATTCCAATCATTTAATCACTCTGCACCAAACCATTCAACAATTGTCAAACAACCTCTTACTCTTAATAAAATTAAGTGATTACATGTTTTCATATATGGAAAGTGGTAAATGTTTAAAAAGTAAAGAAGTGATTCTAACTCTTTATCTTTGTGGATTTGACCGTGAAGCATCGAATAATTACTTGTATGTGTATGCAGAAAATAAAAGGCCAGTTTCATAACTTTTACAAATAGATGACACACGAGTTCATATGTGAACCATGTGATACACATGAACTAAATGTTCATATATGAATTAGTTAAATAGTCCATATGTGAATCATAATGGTTCATATGTGAATCGGTCAATTAACTCGTATATGAATCACACGGGTTCATATGCGAATTAGCTGAATAGTTTATATGTAAATTACATGAGTTCATATATGAACATATAGTTCATATGTGAATCACATAGGGTTACATATGAATCCGTTTGCTAACTATTTGTAAAAGTTACAAAACTACCATCTCTATTCTTCGTATAGCCGCAATTTTTGACCAGTTAAAGCTATAATTCTTGACCAGTCAAATATGATCTTGATCGTATAAATGGTTATGATCATTTCTTTACTTCTCAAATGTTTACCACTTCCCAAAATAATCATACATATATATATATATATATATATATATATATATATATATATATAAAGAGAGAGAGAGAGAGAGCGAGAGAGAGACAAAGGATCGTGTAAGAATACTTTTTAATCTAACTTTATTAGCCTTCAACTACATTTATCTACTTTCAATTATCTTCAACTATATTTACTTTTATCTTCATGTTTATCATCACTTTCAGCCATTTTCATGAATTTATATATATATATATATATATATATATATATATATATATATGTATATATATATATATATANTATATATGTATATATATATATATATATAAAATCACTTTTACATACATAAATTTGTTAAAATTTGATAATGATGATAACAAATATATAAATTAAAGTTAATGAATGTATATGAAGGTTTATTCTCATGTTTTCATTACAACTTTTTGGGCTGTTTACCTAACGCTTATCCAGGTAAGCACTTATCAAGTAACATTATCTCAGCGGATGAATATAGTAAGAACCAAGAATCTTACTCAGTAAGAGCGAGACAAAGATCAAGAGTCTTACCCAATAAGTGTGGACGACGACTTTTACCACGGTAAACGCTTACCGGGTAAATTGTTGTATACTATGTCATTTTGGTGGACTAAAATCTTACCTGATAAGTACATAATAGTGTTAAATTTTACCGGTAAACACTTATCGGGTAAGTGTTTGATAAACGGTCCCTTAGTCAAATATACTAACCGGAACCCAACTTCCAATTTGTAAGAAAATTTGGATCAATCCATACGTGGATCGGGTCAAGCTTAATAAAAAAACAGTTACAACTGTCGTTCCTATTTAATAATGAATTCCAGATGAAATGGTAGCAATTAAGGCCTATTTTTACATCTATATGTACATATAATGAGAACAACATTTTTAGATTATACAATTATTTTTAATAAGAATATAAATAATTATAGAATATAATTTATTGGTTTATTTATGTAGTTGCTACCTTAGGAAGGAGGGGCAAATATGGCATTAAAAGTTAGAGGAATAATTCTCAAAGCATAATCTTGAAAGAAAATACATTGAACCATCTTTTGGTAATTTCTTTAATTAAATTAATTACTTTTAATGTCATTATTATCATAAAAAACAAAGCATTAAAAATTAAAATTCAATTTCAACAATTACTTTATTTTAACAATTCTAGTATTAATTATATTATTAAAATATTTAATACATTTAATAAAATATTAACTCTTTCTCAAACATTTAATTTTAATATTTCCTTACTGGTAGAAAATAATTAAGATTTTATTTCTCTCTCCTATATAGAGTTTTAGAGATTTCTTTAAATTTGAAGATTTTCATATTCTCTTTCTTGATGGAGATGCTTATGTTGGTACATATTTTTTCACTATTTATTTTTTATTCACCTGGATATTAAACTCGTTATGTGAGCCGATTAATCTCAGGGTAAGCATCTGCTTTGCAGGTAGCCTGGAATCACCGCATTTAAATCTTTGTAGCTATAAGAGAATTTTTATTCCTCCTTAGATTGAAGCTGAGATTTCCAAACACTTTTTGATGTTTGAAGCCCAAGCTCAAACCAATCAGACACCACTCTTATATCTGATTAAACTATATATTATTTTTAGATTGTATTTATATATATATATATATTTATATATATATATTTATATATATATATATTTATTTATTTAATGATTTAAATATAAAAACAAAAACTTGAACTTATTGTTAGGTGGAAAATGAGCTTAATTGAGATAGTAATGGAGGTAGGTGAGAAAAGGGAAAGTAATACAATAATTTCAAAATTATTAATATATTAATATAAGTTTGTTATATCAACATTTTTTTAATTCAATAATAGTTTTAAATTTTGTAAATTGGCTTTTGTTTTTTTTATAAATAATTTTATCTTATAGTTTTTTAATTAAATCATTGAATGAGATTAATTCTTATAACTTTGAACATTTTAAGGTATTAAAGAATTTGAATTTCAAGGACGTTCCAATATTTTTGGAGGCTCTGTTAGACCCAAAATTTTTAATGGCATTGTATAAGAGATAACAACGATACATATATGTTAAGCACAAAAGGAGGCTAATCCTAAACGATCAACAATCTGAACCTAACTTAAACCATTAATAATTTGAATCTAAACTTAAGGAATTAACAATTTGGGTTATAGTTTTACACAGATTGAAGAAAATGCCCTAAACATATGTAAAATTGGGCCCCAAAATTTTGGAAGCTCTGTTCAAAAATCTCACATTTAACATGCTAAGGAACAACTCTGCTATCTCTTTTCCTCTATTTTCCTATAACCCAATTCAGGTGGTTGTGTTTTTCTTCCCCTTTATCACCAATCTCCTCATCCCGTTCTCCTTCTCCACACCTACGGCCTTCGACCCTACACTATGGGTTTCACAACACCAACCATCGATCCCCTTGCTTCTTTTTCATTCCCCAAGTCTTCTCAAAACCCACAACACCCTGAATTTCCCAACCTCCACCTCTACAACACCATCCACCAACAACGACATCAACTACTCTTGCCATCTCATCGTCCCTACATCAACAACCCCCTTCTCCACTTCCTTTCAAATGATGAAGAAAAACCCACTTCGCTTGAATAGAAAAAAATCATATGAAAAGAATCAACTGATGAGGGAATCGAAATTGGAGGATTACATCAGAGGAGGAAAGGGGAGCATTGAACTCATCGGAGGGGAGGGGAGGGGAGGGGAGGGGAGGAGGGCTTCACTGGTCCCTTTACTTGGTGGTTGTGTATGCAACGTGTGTGTATATACGGGATATTTAGTGTATGTATATGTATATATTGTTTTTTTAATAGAAAAAGATAAAACATGACATTTTGATATTTTTACCGATTAAATAATTAGGTTTACAGATTTTATCAATCGTAATAAACCATCAAGATGGTATATATAATAAATCAAGTATAAAAATATTGGCCATAATTTATGACATAACACATGGACCAAATTCTATATTTTATTTTAATATAATTTGCCTTAAATCTCATATGAATTCACTAAGCCAAAATTTATATATGCTCATATGTGTGTGTATATATGTATATATATATTTATATATATATATATATTCATATA